CCAGATAGCACAGTTTGTTAGAACAACAGTAAAGATATCTGAAGTCAAGGCACACTTCCGTTCACCAGATAGCACAGTTTGTTAGAACAACAGTAAAGATATCTGAAGTCCAATCATACTTCCGTTCTCCAGATAGCACAGTTTGATAGAACTACAGTAAAGATATCTGAAGTCTTGGGTTCGAATCCTGGTCTACCCCGCTAAATTGTTACATTCAAAACACTTTTGCTGATTATATTCTGTTTATGTTAATAGTCAAGTCATGCCAGAAAAAATGCATAGTTTCAGTTATAGACAGTGGTACGGACATCCTTAATGAAGGACACCAAATGACTGAGCATCCGTCTAATGAAATGTTCAAGGGCACTTACAGAGACATGTGATATACATAAGTATGCAGGATGACTCCGCTAGATGTGATGAGTACATAGCTATTGTATTTTAATCGATCAGTTCCAAAACCGCATGTCGTTTCCTGAACACATTCAAGCAATAACAGTGACAACTTCGAGTTAGTCAGAGGTGATAGCAGAAGGTAAGTGATGTTTGTCATACATGGCTGGTAAGATGTTGACTGAAGAGTTTAGTTATAGAAGTTTTTTCCTGAAGCTACTTCTTTTGGGAAGGTATTAATCTTTCCTTTCAGCTATCTTTGGATTGTTACATTCATTAGTTGTTTTTTAACTACAACTATTGTTTTTTTCTGTCAATATAGAACTTGTATGAAATTCAGAACGAGAAATTGATCGAAGCTGTACGCCAAGGTTGATATTGTTCTTTCTGTACTCAATACAATATCCTATCTTAACGAATGGAATGTCAATTATTGTGATTTGATTCATATTATGAATTCCCTTTTCCCCCTCAATACTAATCACACTTACTGATGGTTTTGATTATGTGAGAATTTCTGGGAAATCCGGAATCGTTCACTTCCTTACAACTAGGATTGTCAATGAATCACCTGAAGTCGAGACATCTGACAACAATTTAAACCATGACGTCATGGATTTCCCTGTCTATCTTTCTTTAGAACTCAAACAGCGGTTAATATTGCTGTGTGCCGATGTATAGAATTACAGAAAGAAAACCAAAGTTGTCTTCAACAGTAGCAAAAGTAAATAACTAGACTGTACACACGATTGAAGTTTTGTTATATCTCGGCATTAAGTATCAAACAAGATCCTGATATTTTTCGACAGACCCACTGCCCTTTGCATTCCACGTTAGGCTAAGCCTATGTTAAAGAATCGAGTTGTAACACTGTATACCACAACGCTGTAGACAAATGAAGGTAACATTGAGCGTTTTATGAGGTTTAGAAAAAAATACCCTTCAACACGTACTGAAATGTTAAAACATGATGTGATATGATCGTATACGGATTGTTTTCCAGGTCGTACGTCGTACATGGCTTGCTGACAACAGAGGTGACCTTGGTTAGAGATGAAGTGAAGCCTTGACCTTCTGGACGTGCCGTCATTCTGATTCTTGTGAAAATGAAGGACAAAGCACACGTTGGTATTGCTCAACAGAACACACAGGCTTTTGGTGCCAACAGGAAACGAACATTTCTGTTTGTAACTAGACTGTGTGCGGCGTTAGTTTCCCACGAACTACTGTCTGCCATGGTTCTCGGTGCGCCCTCTAACACTGGACCTGAGTTATTGACTGACTACCGGTTCACCTACAACACCACTGATACATATGTAGACAGGGTAAGGCGTGTGTGATATATAATGGACACGATAAAGCGTGTGTGATATATAGAGGACAGGGTAAGGCGTGTGTGATATATAGGAGACACAGTAAGGCGTGTGTGATACATAGAGAAAGGGCAATGCGTGATAAATAAAAGACACAGTAGGGCGAGTGTGATATATAGAGGACCGAGCAAGGCGTGTGTGATATATAAAGGACAGGTCAAGGCGTGAATGATATATAGAGGACAGCGTAACGCTTGTGAAATATAAAGAGGACAGGGCAAGGCTTGTGTGATATATAGAGGACAGGGCAAGGCGTGGGTGATATATAAAGGACACGGTAAGGCGTGTGTAATATATAGAGGACATGGCAAGGCGTGTGTGATATATAGAGGACAGGGTAAGGCGTATGTGATATATAGAGGACAGGGTAAGGGGTGTGTGATATATAGAGGACAGGGTAAGGCGTGTGAAATATATAGAGAACAGGGTAGGGAATGTGTGATATATAGAGGACAGGGTAAGGTGTGTGTGATATATAAAGGATACGGTAAGGGGTGTGTGATATATAGAATACAGGGTAAGGCGTGTGTGATTTATAAAGGACAGGTTAAGGCATGTGAATTATATAGAAGACAGAGTAAGTCGTGTGTGATATTTAGAGGACAGGGCAAAGCGTGTGTGATATATAGAGGACAGGGTAAGGCGTGTGTGATATATAGAGGACAGGGCAAAGCGTGTGAAATATATAGAGAACAGGGTAAGGCATGTGTGATATATAGAGGACAGGGTAAGGCGTGTGTGATATATAGAGGACAGGGCAAAGCGTGTGAAATATATAGAGAACAGGGTAAGGCATGTGTGATATATAGAGGACAGGGTAAGGCGTGTGTGATATATAGAGGACAGGGCAAAGCGTGTGAAATATATAGAGAACAGGGTAAGGCATGTGTGATATATAGAGGACAGGGTAAGGCGTGTGTGATATATAGAGGACAGGGCAAAGCGTGTGAAATATATAGAGAACAGGGTAAGGCATGTGTGATATATAGAGGACAGGGTAAGGCGTGTGTGATATATAGAGGACAGGGCAAAGCGTGTGAAATATATAGAGAACAGGGTAAGGCATGTGTGATATATAGAGGACAGGGTAAGGCGTGTGTGATATATAGAGGACAGGGTAAGGCGTGTGTGATATATAGAGGACAGGGTAAGGCGTGTGTGATATATAGAGGACAGGGTAAGGCGTGTGTGATATATAGAGGACAGGGTAAAGCGTGTGTGACATATAGAGGACAGGATAACGGGTGTGTGATATAATGAGAACAGGGTAAGGCGTGTGTGATTTATAAAGGACAGGGTAAGGCATGTGAAATATATAGAGGACACGGTAAGGCGTGTGTGATATATAGAGGACATGGCAACGCGTTTGTGATATATAGAGGACAGGGTAAGGCGTGTGTGATATATAGAGGACAGGGCAAAGCGTGTGAAATATATAGAGAACAGGGTAGGGCATGTGTGATATATAGAGGATAGAGTAAGGCGTGTGTGATATATAGAGGACAGGGTAAGGCGTGTGTGATATATAGAGGACAGGGCAAAGCGTGTGAAATATATAGAGAACAGGGTAAGGCATGTGTGATATATAGAGGACAGGGTAAGGCGTGTGTGATATATAGAGGACAGGGAAAAGCGTGTGTGATATATAGAGGACAGGGTAAGGCATGTGTGATATATAGAGGATAGGACAATGCGTGTGTGATATATAGAGGACAGGGTAAGGCGTGTGTGATATATAGAGGATAGGGCAAAGCGTGTGAAATATATAGAGAACAGGGTAAGGCATGTGTGATATATAGAGAACAGGGTAAGGGGTGTGGGCAAAGCGTGTGAAATATATAGAGAACAGGGTAAGGCATGTGTGATATATAGAGAACAGGGTAAGGGGTGTGTGCAAAGCGTGTGAAATATATAGAGAACAGGGTAAGGCATGTGTGATATATAGAGGATAGGGTAAGGCATGTGTGATATATAGAGGACAGGGTAAGGCGTGTGTGATAGATATAAAGACAGGGTAAGGCGTGTGTGATATATAGAGGATAGGGTAAGGGGTGTATGATATATAGAGGACAGGGCAAAGAGTGTGTGATATATTAAGAACAGGGTAAGGCATGTGTGATATATAGAGAAAAGGGTAAGGGGTGAGTAATATTTGAGTACAGGGTAAGGGATGTGTGATATATAGAGAACAGGGCAAAGTGTATCTGATATATAGAAGACAGGGCAAAGTGTGTATGATATATATAGAACAGGGTAAGGCGTGTGTGATATATGGATTTCAGGGTAAGGCGTGTGTGATATATAGAGGATAGGGTAAGGCGTGTGTGATATATAGAGGATAGGGTAAAGCGTGTGTGATATATAGAGGAAAGGATAAGGGGTGTTTGATATATAGAGGACAGGGTAAGGCGTGTGAAATATATAGAGTACAGGGTAAGGGGTGTGTGATATATAGAGGATAGGGTAAGGCGTGTGAGATATATAGAGGAAAGGATAAGGGGTGTTTGATATATAGAGGACAGGGTAAGGCGTGTGTGATAGATATATAGAGGACAGGGTAAGGCGTGTGTGATATATAGAGGACAGGGTAAGGGGTGAGTGATATATAGAGTACAGGGTAAGACATGTGAAATATAAAGAGGTCAGAGTAAGGCGTGTGTGATATATAGAGGACAGGGCAAGGCGTATGTGATATAAAGAGGATAGGGCAAGGCATATGTGATATATAGAAGAAATGGCAAGGCGTGCGTGATATATAGAGAAAAGGGTAAGGCATGTGTGATATATAGAGGACAGGGTAAGGTGTGTGAAATATATAGAGAACAGGGTAGGGAATGTGTGATATATAGAGGACAGGGTAAGGGGTGTGTGGTATATAGAATACAGGGTAAGGCGTGTGTGATTAATAAAGGACAGGTTAAGGCATGTGAATTATATAGAAGACAGGGTAAGTCGTGTGTGATATATAGAGGACAGGGCAAAGCGTGTGTGATATATAGAGGACAGGGTAAGGCATGTGTGATATATAGAGGACAGGGCAAAGCTTGTGTGATATATAGAGCACAGGGTAAGGCATGTGTGATATATAGAGGACAGGGCAAAGCTTGTGTGATATATAGAGCACAGGGTAAGGCATGTGTGATATATAGAGGACAGGGCAAAGCGTGTGAAATATATCGAGAACAGGGTAAGGCATGTGTGATATATAGAAGACAGGGAAAGGCATGTGTGATATATAGAGGACAGGGCAAAGCGTGTGAAATATACCGAGAACAGGGTAAGGCATGTGTGATATATAGAAGACAGGGTAAGGCATGTGTGATATATAGAGGACAGGGCAAAGCTTGTGTGATATATAGAGGACAGGGTAAGGCATGTGTGATATATAGAGGATAGGGCAAAGCGTGTGTGATATATAGAGAACAGGGTAAGGCATGTGTGATATATAGAGGACAGGGTAAGGCATGTGTGATATATAGAGGA